CGGCATCATCGGATTCCTCGCCTATCAGAGAAGGTTAGACCTTTAAGACCTGGCAATACACGCAGTGGCCATAAACGGGCCTTTAATCATGACGAAACGATCCATGCCACTGCCAGGCATTTTGCTATGCAGAAACACGACATGCCATTCCAGAATAGTCGATACAAGGAATCATTTCTGCTCAATTCGTTGCAGAGGTATTTGACGGACAAGCTGCACCTTATAATTGACATGGACAAAATGGTTAAGCTGTTGGAAGCTATGAATGTTTTTCCTCCTTGCGAGCCCTCTAGTGTTATTACTACTATACACTCTGCTTGTTTATATGCATGGCATTTTCTCTACTTGACACTATATGAAGCCATAAGTTAACAGTGACATTTTTGTTCGCTCCGAAGGTATGCCTGGATAGAGAAATAAACCTGTATTCTACAATACGGTATCAAAACAACAGTATGATGCCTTGTAGTGAAAGTATTGAAAACTGAGAAATCAGTGGGTACCACAAGTCAAAGGCATTCTGTTTACGCGAACCACTCAACATGATCAGAATAGCAATAAAGAAGGTGAGTTCTATTCTGTTCGATTCAGAAAATAAACGACACAATAAAAAATCAGACAGCCCCCATTGCTTCGCCCAGCGTGCAGCGAGACAGCTTTTCCGGAAAGATTTACCATCAAGATTTTGGAGAATTGTGTGCTCTGATTAATATATCCTTATTACCATTGACACACCACTGCTTCATAGCAAATCTTTCCGACCACCCTAGTGTGAAACAGCGCACGCTACGGAAGTAAGTGTAATTCGAACAGAGTACCGCAGAGGTACTTTCACTGACGAAGACGTCAGGAAAAATGCCGAGGAAGCGGAATGCACTGCAGAAGAAAATCAATAAACTTAATATTATTGAAATAGTTATGATGGTGCAAGAGTTCACAAGCTTCCATCCACCATATTGCACCTCTCTGCCGCCCTATAAAACGAGCATGTCGCTATTTGAGTATCTATTAATACATAACGTAAAGGTTGGCTCTAGGCGGATGATGATTCGCCTACCGTTCAGTTACATAGTCCATGG